AAGCATGAAGGCGAACCTTCATCAGAACCTTTTGTGGAAGTCACGCTATGTTTCGCCAGTAAATACAATATTCAGGACATTCGCAATTCATTACAATAACTGATATAAACTGCGAATGTCCGTCAGACTTGCTCGTGTCGAGAACTCGAGAGCGCAACTGTCGCTGGAGTATCATACTCCGAGTATGTGACGAACTAGATAGTCCACCTGTGTTGTTCTCTATGGGTATCGGGGACACCACGCAGAGCAGTGTATAAAGATACGGGCAAAAGAACAGATAACCAGTTGACGAGACTTGACGGATCAGTGGGAGCAGTTGTAGGGACGATATGGGGATTAGGGGGACGGGAGCAATAGAGAAGAAGGCCCTTCTTAGAAGGGCACTGTTGATCAATAGTGAAAGTTATCCCACAAGTCACGTGTGCAACGACTCGATCAACTATTCAATGATGGCGATGCGTCGACTATCTTAGAGCGTTTCGGAGCAAATATCTGGCGTGCGCGAAACGATAATTGGTCTTTTTCACTAACCCCTTAAAATTGGTGGAACTTAAAGTTAGAGAAACCTGATTTAACAAGTTAGGACTAAGCAAGTTCTTGAGAACTTACGGGAAACTGGAAAGGCTATTGGGAAGACACGTTCGGGAAAGATGATCAGCGCACAGTGGCATCGCGCTCGCCCGAATATCTAAAGTATGATGAGCATCTGAAACGATTGGATGATTGTAACGGCTCGTTGGAGTAATCATTTAGTGAGTCGAAGGCAGTTGAATCTCTTTACGGCTATTCTCGCTGTATCGATAGTAAGCGCTCTGAGTCTTACTGATTGTGTCACTGATCCGAGCCGTCTTGAATCTGAGTACTATCTGTGACTAATCGGATCTAAGTTAATCTTGTCGCGCTGGGTCTGGGACGGTTAACACGCGTAGTGTGTATCAAGAGTGTGGTGAGTCTATGAGCGTATCGCTAGAAGCGCCTAGAATCCCTCGTTTGAGGCCTAGATCATCCTCCGGTACTTCTTCACAGCACAGGAACCATCATGCGTCTAACATAGCTACTGCTACTGGTATCTACACGACCGTCCCGCCCTCACACTGTGCGTAAGTTTGAACCAAAATTAAGTTCGACTACATTTTAAAAAAGTCCAGAAAAATGCTGTAGAACTTCATACCCTGGGGATCGTGCTCGCATGGTTTGAGGCACGCGGTTACTTACCTTTCCGCGGGTTAGTTACCAGAGCGTAATGACGTATTCTTTCGCATTTCCGCGAGGTTAGGCCGGGGTAAGGCCCATCGGTCGGGCCTTTGCGCGTACTTGAGTTTTTCGATTTTTCTGCGAACCTCGGAGCATAGAGGTCTCGTTTGATCCATCCCATGCTCTCGAAGTCCGAGGCTCGGACGCTCAATTGTTGATTCAAAAAACTTCATCACGCACGCACGCACGCACGCACAATGCGAAAGTGCCTGTTGTCGCAACTTCCCTGGCAGCAGACTTATCCTGGTGTCAAAATGTTGTTCCAGTATTGACACCCAAGCTGGGAGTTTCATGTGAAGTTTTAGGCTAGAACTTCACAAAGGCGCGGAGAGCCTATGACGTATGCGTGCAACTGTATAAGGGACATGTCTAATGCAAGACAACGAAACTACGACCAATGGTGTAGGATGACCGTTCTCGGTTCCCTACACCGAACAGACGAGTGGGAAACTCCCACTCGGAGTGCTAAGTTTACACTGGTGCGTACTCAGAGTGAATCAACTAAGAACGACACAATGGTGAACTACAACATATAACGTCACGCGAAATTTCAAGCTAGCTACCGCGCAATCAGGCGGCGGTATCTCTGTCTAGCAAAACCATCTCCTCCACGGCTCTGACCGTGATGGCTCGAGTGAACTAACCCGATGAGTTGCCTTTCATGTCATTTGAACCTGTTGGGCCAACATTGCTGGCATGTTCTACCACTCAAGGTGTTGAGCCCAGAGGTTCCGGCGTGTGCGGCCATTTGCCTTCATTGTGCGCATTCGTCGTCACGCTTGCCGATACCGTACCGTGTTCAACATGGCGTGTTGTGATGTGCCTGCTTCAGCTTGGATTCAGTGAAGTAGAGATCCATCATAAATGATTCCAACT